GCATTGTTCAGTCAATTAGCTCTCTCTCTCTCTCTCTACAGTTGAAATGAAGCCATTTCGTGTACGAGGTATGGTTCATGCTTGAAATCAGGAGGCAATCCACTAAGCAATTTATCTTTGTCTACGTGGATTGTGTTTGGAATGAGAAATATGACGCTATGCAGTGATGCTCGAATGGCAGATGGATAGCGCCAATTTTTATCGTGAGAACTTCTCTTCAATGCACGCGTGCTGAAAAGATTGATTGTAGTTTTAGGTGAATTTCTATTAGTCCTGTCAGCACACGAGGGCGTCACTGGAGCAACCATCTCGAATCGGCACAAAAAAAAGTGGTTGCATCTTTCTTTTTGCCGAAAAATCGATGCCGACCACAAGAAATCACTGTTCGACCTCCCTGCAAAAGCGAAAGAGCCAAGGATATTCTGCAGGACATCTGGTCATCGTCTCTCCAAAAAGTCCTTCGTGGGAGTCACAACCCGTCGGAAAGACGATGGTCTAGCGAGGCACTCAGCCGCTCTTGCATGCAGTGTATGACGGAATTGATCAGGTGCTGTGCGACGTCAATGACCGGTTTGAAGAACGTGAGAGAATTGCATGTAACATAACTAACGATGGCTCCGATTCAGAGGCGTAGCGAGGGGGGGGGGGGCTGGGGGGGGGCTTCAGCCCCCCCAAGTTTGGTTCAAGCCCCCCCAACTTCGATCTAAATGCATCCGCCCCCCCCCCCCCACCGGGCGAGGAGAAGTAAGCCCCCCCATCGGCGAAACCCTGGCTACGCCATTGCTCCGATTTCATGAAAGCTTTTCAAGAGTCCAAAGTGAAACTTGAGGATGAAGCTGATGATGAAAGTGGTGGGGTTGAGCGTTCATCCCTTCCTTTTCTTCGAAATGAAAGCTCTCAGAGAGAGCCCCGCATCTTCTATAATGAATCATGCAGCAACGAGGAAGTGTTTCTGGAATCTCTCTCAGGCAGAGGCCATTAGGAGAATGTGGGGGATAGGAACACATTAGACCCACCGGATGGAATTCGTCCTGTGATGCTAGACGAGAATTTCCGAGAAGGGGAAGGTTGAATGATTTATGTGTTGACCTGAGTGTGCCCGTTCTCCAAGAACTCGGGCTGGGTTTCCTGCAAGAACACCCGGTTGTCATGGCACCTGTGGCTACATCGATTGACAAACTGCAAGGAGAAAAAAAAGGTAGCAGGTCTCAGTCGGAAATTTCACGGACATTGTGTTTCCCCATCGTTTTCGAGCTGCACTGACGCCTAACACATTGAGCTCCATTAGCAAAAACAATGCTTGCAGGCCCTCGAAGCAGATTTGCCAAACTTTTCTCCTTCGTGGAGTGAATGATTTTTTTTGCTGGCTTCTGTTTCTCATCCGCATTTCAAGCTTGGGTGAGTGCCTGAATACCAAATCACTGTTGTGCGTTGTTTGTCAACTGCGCAGATCAGTTTGCATTCGCTGGGATATAAAAAATTATTTTTTAAATATTATCATTCAGACAGACGAGGAAGCTGCGAGACTGCTGTAGCGAATGCCTAAAAAATGCGATCTTTGCAGAACCTCAATGGTAAAAGAAAATGCTCATGAAGTACAACACAGGTAAACCATCAAGTGTTTCATGACTTGCACACCTAAACCGCCATTTCCCTGGAAACTTGAAAAACTGTTTTTGCTAAAAGCAAATCAAGTGTTCAGGTGTCAGTAAGCATGCAAAGTGAATCATATGCCATAAATCCATACGTGCTTTCCTAGACTAGATTCACGATGATCTCTCTGGACAAGGAAATAAAATCATTCATTGAGAGAGTGACACGTGATTCATCAGTAATTTGTCATTTCAAAGTAATTCAATTTCGTAGTTGCGAAATTGTAATTTTTCATTACATCCTAGAAGTAATTTGTAATTGTATTTCAATTACAATCTGCATACAGTAATTTGTCGTGTAACTCAATAACATCGTGCACAGTAATTTGCTCATCACTAAGGACACGTATTGCAACATTTTACATGCTGCACTGAAGACGTTGTCTTATGTTACATCCTGCACCACCTGCCCTATCAAATTTTAAACAGGTGAAACTGGGCATCGTTCGGAGAATCGTTTTGTGGAGCTCCTTTGGGGGATTCGTACTAAATCTTTTGAGCCGGTCCCATCTCATTTCTGTCTTTCAAATCATGAACAGAACGCAGGGTCTTCACCGTTCCTTCCCAAGATTCTCGTCGTTCTTTGGAAAATCGACAAAAAATTCGTTATGTTCTTTTGGGCTCCTAATTTCCTTCCGTTCTTTTCTCTCGTTGTTCTGTTTGTTCGTCTTACTGTATACTCTTCAGGCACAGCATAACCATTCCCTTGAAGGCCTGCTTGGTCGCGGTACTCGGAAACTTTTTTATCTCATATCTTTTCGCTTTATCCTTTGTAAAGTACTTCATAGAGATAAAAAAGGGAATATCCCACGTAGCCCGGCGCATGCACTGAACCATATTCACCACTTCCTAATTCCCACACTTTCATGCTTATGTTATATTATTGTATTATATATTCTATTATTATATATGACATGAAAAGGTCTCGTGTACGCCAAGAACACTGGTTGCATGCGATTTTCTCAATTTTCCAACCCTGAGGGAGTCAGCATCGAAATGAATCATCTGCGTGGCATACGACAGAAGAAACCGTCTCGCCTTCTTCGTGAATGAGATTTACCTTTGGTTCACCATTTCATAATGGATTTTCACAATCGAGAGTTAAGGGGTGAGGCGTCGCGCGATAGGCAGTGTGCGAAGCAAACCGCCTCAATCCGGCATCACTGGCGATTAATTTTCGGGAACCCTTTCAAAAGCAGGCTCATCGAATTACATTCCATATTAGTCTTTCATTAGGAGGCACTTGTCCTTTCGCCGCAGCTGCTGCCAAAAGAGAAATATCGTGGGGATCTCATTGGACTTTCATGTAGCAACAGCCGGTTAGCATGACAGATAGCAGGCAGTGATGCCGGAGGGAAGGTCGATCGGGCTCAGGGTGATCATTTCGTATTCAGCCGAAATAATGTAACATTATATCAGCGCAAAAGCAGGAGACCGTCTCATTTTGCTCCGCTCTATCCTATTTCTACGTGACCAGAATTGCATTAGAAAGGGTTCCATCCCTGCTTTTCCTTGATATGGAGAGGAGCTATTAAATAAGCTAGAGTAGCTGCGGGCCCATAATTTGAATAGGTGAGACTGGGGCAGCATGCACAACCCTGAAATTTGGATTCATTTCAGTCTACGGAGATGGAAAAGACTCCAGAAGTTGAAAAAGCTTCCTCGATTCCAGAGCAAATGGCTCGGTCCTCATACAGGCGAGCCAAGAAGCATTAAGAAAAATTGCAGGCTGTGATGTAATCACGAGTCGCAGTCGCTGTGCGATTTCAGGGGAGTTTCAATTATTCAGAATCAATGAATTTGCACAGGGACGAAATTCCTGGTGACGTCACATCACTGAAGAATATCTATGCCATTACTCAATAGCATATTCAACTTTTATTTGTTTCCCATTTCCTCATACATGCAGTTATAGACGACACAACACCGCAATAAATACTTTTTTTAAAATTTGTTTTGAAATGAAACCAACCCTAAAAAGCAAAAAAAAAGCAAAAGAAAAGATTCAAGAACTGATTTCTTGGCGAGGATTTTTTTTAGGATTCACTTCGTGCTTTTGTAGTTTCCTTCATAACAGCTTGAGATCTGGTATTTGTGAAAAAAAAAATTTAGAAAGTTTTTGCCAAAATATTCAAGGAATACAGAACCTCACATCTCACTTCAGAGTTTCATACATATGAGTCCTTAAGATATTTTAAGCCAACCATGAATGATTGTTAAGATATCACAGGAAGAGCAGCATTCTGGGCAACATACCATATCAAACAGAAGCAAGAATAATTTATAAGCAGGCCTACTAGTCCCCATATTGAGCTTCATAAGCAAGCAGCAAAATCACAACTATAATCAATTCTCAAGTTCCCAAAGCAAAACATCAAAATAAAATCGAGAGAAAATCATGGCCATGACATTTCCCAAGTACCATAACAGAAAGCAACCATGAATAATGGCAACTTGGGAAATAAAAATCACACATGAAACCTGTGCCTTCCGTAATGCAAGTTGTTCAGTGCCAGGATGACATCAAGAGACTATTCTGGAAAAGAGTTAGCTTACAAGTGGTTCCTTAGTAGAAAAACATAATTATGAAATATAAAAAAGGTCAAGAGTTTTGTGACTCAATAATGCAATCGAGTTGTATAAAAGGGAGACCCTGTAAGAGAACAAAATATTTCACACTGACAAATAGCAATGATTGTTGGCATTTGAGGCATTCAAGGGAATCTTTTCCAGAATTTCAAATCTGTATCACAGGGCAAGGAACTGCTTCAATGGCAGACTTAATGCAGGAAAATATGAGATGCTTAGCAGATAACATGTGATATAATAGCACAAGGCAGTTAACAATATGCTTACATGAATTTCAAGACATTGTGGAAATCCTTCAAATGTGATGTGACATTGAACTTTCCATGAGATTGTGCAAAAGTGAGATAAATCACTGGTGTAGGATTCAAGCAGCCCAAATGAAATACTGTGTCTTGTGCACTGCAGCTTCCTAAATTCATGATGAAACCATGTATCACAGACAATAACTTACTGTTTGCAACATTGGAAAATCAGAAGAGAATGCCACAATAAAACCACATAATGAATGCAGCTCCAACTATAGCTCCAGAGGGATTAAGAACACACTGCCTTAAGGTGTAATCATGTGCTGATGGGAAGCAATGATTTATGGACACAAATTAATAAGCCTCCAAGCAATATTGTTCTTGTATGACTAGCTACACCAGATATGATAATTAAAAAAAACACAGAAATATAGATTTGCAAAATCCTCAGCTGAGTGGGATGATATGGGGACACAATCACAGCTGTTGTGATGAATAAAAAGAGAAGACAAGCTCAATCAGCTGGTGCTATAGGGCGAAGATAGGAAGCAGGGACGTAACCCAATGCCTGTGTCTCCAGGTTCTTCATATACCACCAGCTGTCTGCACCAGTTGCTCTGGCCACTGGGATCAGGAGAAACCTATCACCAGGTTGCATGCTCATGTCAACATCTCCACTCTTTACATATGGATACAGAGCCTCGAATATCTGGGAATTCTCCTGGAAAAGGAACAAAAGCAAAAGATATCTTAAAAGAGACAGCATATAGACACCCATCACCGTCTCTTTGGTGTTCTTACATTTGGAGTAGATGGTTCCAGCAGAACTTCATCACAGCTAGTGCTATGCTCTTTCTGAGAATTTGGCTGAGGTTCCATAGAATGTCGCTGAAGATAAGGTGATGTGGCAGCTTGAGAAGAAGCCATGACTTCCATATAAGAAGGAGGTGGAGAAGAGTCTTGGGATTCAGTCATTGATCGAGGTCTTCTTGGATTGTCATCTTCATATGCCTGCAGAAACTTGGATGGGACAAAGCCCTTTGTTGCTGAAATGATGAAATAAATACCAGGTATGAATACTGTAACTTCGTTGAGATGCTGGAAACTACAGGGTGGGCCAAAAAAGTACCTGATTTGAAGATGATATTACAGGATAACCATACAATATAGGATTGAATAATGAAATGCATTAAGCAGGCAAAAGTAAAAAATTATTTTACTAATCAACCCTTTCTTCTGCTGCAGGTTCAAAATGCCTGAATTAAATTTACAACAAAGAATCTTTATCATTGAGGAGCATATATGATTGATATTGATATGCACCTCAATGATAAAGATTATTTGTTGTAAATTTAACCCAGGCATTTTGAACCTGTAACAGAAAAAAAATTTAGTAAAAAAATGTTGAATTTTGCCTGCTTAGGGGATTTTATTATTCAATCCTATATTTTATGGTTATCCTGTGATTTCATTTCGAAATTGGGTACATTTTTTTGGCCCACCCATAAAAGAGACAACCACAGACCTCCATCATTCACAAACCATCGTGAGGTACCACCCATTGGGTCCTGTTTCTTTATGACACCTACAAGCTGCCCTTTCTTCATCTTTAAGTCCATAGCATCCGCTGGGAAATAATCTTCAGTGGCTTTGTACACATTCTCCTTAGTGAAGTTCCTTAAGATGGACTGCGGTTGAGGAGGTGACTCCTATCAAAACACACAATCAAACATCAAGCCCAATCCTGAAAGAGACTTATTATATCATGTAAACCATGAAGACAATGCAAGGAAATATTGGCAATGAATTTAAAAAATGCCCCAGACGAGATGCAACATGAGATACCTGAGCTAGTTGTTTCTTTGAAGAGGAGCGGGAAGGCCGAGGGGAACTCTTTCTCTTTTTTTCTCCACTTCCAGCAAAGGAATCTGGGATGCAAGAATATCTTGCCATCTGACTGCAAACAAGATTGTGCTTCACGACAAATGACTCCAAATAATCAGACAATCCAGTCCGCAGCAGTGGAAGCTGTCCAAGAAGAAAAGAAAACAACTCGATATGAGACTCTTTCGGATATTGAGGAAAGTGCAATGACTCCTCTGTTACCTCCGTAAGTTCGAGGAGTTCCTTGAAGATTCGCCCAGCAAGATTCTTCCGAGCATGAAGAAATGCTTTTACACAATGTCGAAGAATATCCTCAGCATAGTTGCAAAGAATTGGTAATTCTTCAATGAGTTGGGAATTCAGAGCCTCATACTCCTGCTTCCCCTTCTTTGCATCTTCTTTCAACTAAGGAAACATGGTAAAAATGAGATAATATATTGATGTATACACTGTAGAAAGGAAAGACATGCATACAACTACACGAAAAGAAATTGCACATGCCTGTCGACTCTTCTCAGGATCTTTGTTCTTGTCAACCTTCTGAGCCAGAGACTCATAATCATACAGCTTGTCACGTCTCTTGCTGATGAGATGCACGGGACCAGCAAAGCTTTCACACAGTTGAACCAAAGGTCCTATCACCTGATTGGTTACTATTCGATCCTGTGAAAACAATTCCATTATCACTACCTATACTTGAATGGAAAACGTTTATACATTTGTGCTCTCCACTCACAAAATCAGAAGAAAATTGAGAGAGGATGAGATGCTGAACACCTCGAAAGCGGTCAACTTCAGTCAGTTTGTTTCTCTCTGCATAGTAATCAGCTATATCCTCAGCCACAACAAGCTGGAGTGAGAGAGATAAATTGAGCTGGGAAATGAAACTCTCCACATTTGCCAGGAATCCCTGGCTTGTTCTCTCCACATCCAAGAACCTCTGCTCTTCAGTGTCAAATTGTATATCTCGAGCCTGCAGATAGAGGTCATTTTAAAAGCTGTCATGGTACAAAAAATGAGAAGTACCATCAAGCTTCCAGAAATGTTGCACTGAAAAATCACCTACCCCCGGAAAGAAATATGATGTCAGTCGCCTGGAGATTCTATTAGTTTTCTTTTCAATTGAATGCATGTTGAACCTGGAGATGCGGCTGGTCAGTGATTCAGCTCGCATGGTCTTGTACTTGACAACTATCTCCTTTCTGCGTTTCATCTCATTGATAGTTGAAGCAAGGCTGGTCATTGCTGCCAAAGCCTCCAGAACTGGCTGTTTGTCCTTGTGACCATCTGGGGTATACTGCAAGGAAAGAGAGGGAAATATTAATGAAAAGGACAGTTCAAACATTCAAGGCATTCAACCCAAAAGGAAACTTAAATCTCACTTTTGCAATCTGGTTGAGCAGAAGGGGATACTTGAGGATTCTCTGCACTGGTTTAATGAGCATGGATTCCATGTCAAAACATGTAATTCCCTTCTGCCTTAATTTCTCTACTCCACCTTTGATCACATCTCCCACCTTTGGCATTCTTTCATACTACAAAAAAATCTCAGTGGTAAGTATGGTTCAAGTTTAAGTAAGACAAGATCTATGGGCAATGGACACTCACTTCTTCTATTAAGGGTGGAACATTATCATGATTGATGCAGTAAGGAACATATGCATCATGCATTTCAGGGAGGAACTCCAGGAAACAGGAACCAATGACCTGTTCATCCTCTGGAATGCCTTTCATGGCAAGTTGGATTCGATCAAGGAAGTTCTCACTGCATTTCACCACCTAAACAAGAGGCAACAAACTAAAAGCATTGCATCACCTCTTTTCAAAGGTCAGCAAACATTTTAAAATATTATATTGCAGTGCTTACCTCAAATATGCTGGAGAAGACAGCAGGACAGTCAATGCCTAAAGATGCCAAGTAATCTGGGTCATATACATGGAAGACTTCAATGGTCTCCTTCAAATCTCTAACATATTCTCTTTCTGTTATGACAAGCTCTGAGATCACATTCTGCCGCTGACTCTCCATTTCTTTCCTGTAAAGGAAGGTCCTAATGAGGCTGAACTCTGCATATCAAGTAGTTGAAGTGAGAGGTAAGAGTAGGAGCTCACAAGAATTGAGCATCATTAATCTGAAGAGACTTTGGTCCCCCATTGCAAACTTGCACAGAACTCATCTCTGGAGTGCCACCAACTGATTCACCATCTGAAAGAAAGTGTTGAAATTTCAAATGCTGAAGAAAATCTCACTCTTATCTAAAGCAATCTCAAATGTCCCACCACGTTCATCCAAAGGCAGAGGGATTGGTGGTGCTGGTCGTGAAGGTGACAAGGCCCTTACAATACCACTTTTGGATGATCCCCTGTAAACTATTTGCTCTTGTACTTCATCTTCTTCCTCAGTTTCAAGATCACTATCAGGGGCAATGACCATCAGCTCTTCCAACACTTCAGGTTTTCCATTGACAGGATCCTCAACTGAAACTTGAACAATAGCAGGTTGGCTCATTGTGAAAGCAGGTGGTGGGGGTCTGCCAGGCTTCTCCACTTTGGCTGCAGTCTCAGTGTAGGTTGAAAATCCATTTCTGGAATATTTGTCACAATTAACACTGATGGCTTCCTCCTTCCAGTCAATTGCAGTGTTCAAGGAATTCCGGTTACTTCCTAAGTGTGTTTTTACAGCATTGAGAGATATCTCAAGGCCACTCAAATTCTTATCAATCACTTCCTCAAGAGAACTGCCAGACTGACTTCTAGGTTTGAAGTCATCTTTCTCAAACTGCCTTTTAGGGACCATTGGACTCTGACCCTTATGAGGGGTTAGACCTTTTGTTCCATTCCTCAAAATCTTGATATTTGGAACCTCAAGATGGGATAAAGGAAAGGTTCCCACTCGACCTCTTGGGTCTCGCACTTCACACCAATCGCCTCCAAGTTGCCTCAAAATGGAAATATTGTCACCCTTCTTCAAGTCCAAATTCCCATCATACAATGGAGAGAAGTCTTGAGTCACTCGTGCTTCATTCACTTCCTTTTCCTCTTGATCACAGTCAACAACAATGTTCAAGAAAGCTCGGGGGACAAGACCAGTTGATCCATTGAAGTCACATTCTGTCCACTGTTGATCAACATGCTGGATAACACTAACAATATCTCCTGCCTTACAGCTCAACTCTCCAGGATATTCACCCAGGAAATCATATAGAACCTGCCCATATGGTACAAGGTTAGTGCACTCCCATGGCTCACTTTCCTGAACATGATGTTGCTTAGTTTCAGGAAGTGTAGTTTCAGGCACCAAGAGATCAGCTTCCTTCTTATTTTCAGCAAGTTCTCCATTCATGATTTCCAGGAAGGCTGAAGGAAAAATCCCAATCTTTCCACTGGACTCTCCCCTGAAAATCACAATTCAAAGGGTCATAATTCATCTCAACACTAATGAAAAGATCTAAACTTTGCCAAAGACTAAGACCATTATGAAGATTCTATCAGTACCAAGATACCAATATTAGTATATTTCTGTGCTAGATATTGATGTGCAGACCGATTATGATAGCTCACCTATACCAAAGCTGATCAACCACTTCATGAATGATGAATAGGTCTCCTTCTTTCAAGGATAATTCATCTGCCAGCTGACCAGTGACAGTTTTAGTCACCAATGCCTTCACTCCTTGCTTTATTACTTCATTCACATTGGAGGTCAGAGATCTCTGCCCAAAACAAGTCTGAGAAGGTTAGAGCTGCAGCAAAGCAAAAAAAGAAAAGAATAAAGGACAACAACAAACCTGAAGAGGAGGAAGCTTCCAGACGTGATTCCAGGGAAGGATACCCTTACTAGAACCACCAAGATGATGTCCTCTGACCCAATTTTCATCAACCTTATCCTCATAAACAAGCAGGTCACCTGGGGGAGAAGGCACAATAATGCTCAATGAAGTTTTTGGTTATCATACAATTCATACCCAAGTCAAGTCTACAGACTGATAACCTCCCAAGCTGATAACAGGGGCCATTCTCTCTGATCAAATGTAATGGTGTTGCAAGGTGAATTACTATGAGCAGGGCAACTTCCTGTTGTGAATATAAGATATGTTCCTTGCAACCTTCCATGAGTAAACATAGTAAGATAGTGGGAAGTAAAATAAAAAATATCTGATGAAACGACGAAATGGAGGGATAGATATTTCTGTTTGCACAGACATTACAGAAAGCATTTTACACAGTCATGCCATTAGTCTTTGGCAAGTACAACCCTATGCTATGAAAAAAAAAAAGTCTACAGAGATACCCCATTTGATGAGTACTAGTAAATAACACAAGTGCAAGCCCACTGAAACACCATGAGGTACAAGCCAAAAGGGTTAATATCAAAGGATCATTTTAGTGGAATCCTTATTCATGTCCATGTCAACAGAAGTCAGATTAGATCTATGTGGATATGAACAGCTATCTCAGGCCTATTTGAATATGCTCCCAACTTCTTCCAAATGAGTTATGCTTACCTTTTTGGAAAGACAGATCCCCTGGCTGCTCAGCCCGAAACGTCTCAATTGCAATCATTAATGACAGGCTTCCAGACAACTTTGGAGCTTCCTCCAACTTAGACACACAATTTGAAGGGAACTTTCCTTGATGTCCACACCATTCTCCAAACAGCCACTGCTTGCTCTCTCTGTGTAGAACCTGAGAGATGATGACAGTATTCCTGTGAATACACTGACCCTTGCCAGCCAGTAAATATATTTATCTAAGCCCCAGGCCAAAAAGATATGCTCTGCCTCAGCCTATGTTAGGTCTACCACATTATATTTTTCTAGAGGGTAGATTTCATTAACTAATATGTCTCTGATATCTAACCTACTTACACCATCAGGCCTAACAGTAAGCTTTCATAGGCAAAATATAGGTTATACTTACCTCAATGTTGTTTTTCAATATCTTTGGACTCCCTCAGAATGGGACACTCCCCATATATGGGTGCCTGACTCAAGTTAAAAGCACTTTAAGAACATGCCTTCCCATAATATGCAGGCCTGCGAAGCTTTATAAAAATATTGCTTGCTCACTCAAAAACTTTAATGTGCAAGGTTTTCCTCAACATTGTATGTCTAGTTGAAACCAATAATGCACAGCTATAAAATGAATGGGAAAAAAGTGGGCTTAAAACTGTGCTAGATTCATTTGCCAATTAATGAAAACCTACTCAATTACCACATAAACTTGGTCTCTCAAGAATTTAGAAGCTTTTTTAATTGCCTAAGCCAAGAAAATTTTGCATGTCTGCAATAAGAATAAACTATTACACTAAAGGTAAGATCACACAAATTGCATTACATAAGGGTCGCTATGAGAAGAGTTGACTGGGAGGCAACATAGTCCACAAATGCTTATGCCATGCAATAAAGCTGGCATGAACCTACCACTAAGCCCAATCTGAGGCAAGCCTACCATGAGGCCTAGGCATCTATCCCCAATAAATATACTTAGAAGGCATTGTTCATTTTGGCTCTAAAGGAGGATTCCATAGGGTCACATCTTGAAGGTAGTCATAATCACATCTCATCACCTTCATACACTTTGCAAGAGTTTAATGTCATCATTTGAAATAGCTATGAGTGTATATCTATAATTATATAATTATATGACTAACCTCAGGCTCAGACTTTTTTTTAAGCCCTAGGATTTACATGCTACCGAAGTCTTAGTTGGTTACAACATATTCCACTTCTGCCAGTGAGCAATGAAGCAAGTCAGGCATAAGTTGCTGATTTAATTTTTTTGGCTTCACTCAACGTATTTGAGGAACAACATGTGTGTAAACATGCATGCATATAAAGAGTGGAGTTTATGATTTACCAACCAAGTCCAAATTCGAAGTGGAAGTAGTATAAACATTGCGCCCATGGATAGGCCTACATTCAAATGGCCTCAACAACGTACCAAAATGACATCTCCTTTGGACAACGATAGTTCTCCGATATGAAGTGCGGAGAAGTCGTAGATGACCTTTCCGAGCCAGGGAAATTCCATCCCCGTTGGAATGAGATGCCACCATGAGAAACAAGTCCAGAGGCAAGAGTCACTCCATCACACAGGTGCCAAGACCGACGTAAGCTAGGTCTACGCTACAAGCCAGACGCTCATGTCGACGAAATACTTCACTCTCAGGGACTCTTCTTCCCACATGAAAACAAAATTCAAACGCGGGGACGTGGACAACGTATTGTGCCAAGGAGGGCGACGACCACTCTTCGCATGCTCAAGCAAGGCGACATGTGTACTTGTTACGTAATGCACGTCGTCTGCTTACTGGAAAATCGTACGGGTTTCACTTCCAGTCTCCTTCGTCTGAATATTGGACTAGAGAAAGAAAGAATTGGATGTTACTCCAGGCGCCGGCGTGTTCTTTTCTTTTACTCTCATGAGTTCTTTCAACCTGAACGTATGTTCCGCGTTGTCTTACAAGTGTTCCCGTCTGGCAAGCGGTCGACCACATCATGGTCGATGGGCATAACGGTTAATGATGGGCCATGTCCGGGTATCATAAATTTAACTTTTATCATTTTCGCGGAAAATAATATGCGAATGAGACAAATCTGCATAGAATCATAGAATAAACAGTTTGTATGTGAGAGCATGCAGCAAGGTTTGTTTTGATTGGAGCACACTCTAGTATGGGAAAATTAATAGCCATTTTTTTTTTTTGTTGAGACGAAATCAAGGGTGGTGTCGCAAAGAGATGAGAAGCCGCAGTTTACTTCAGGGCACATTATCATCTGTGGCTTATCGTGCCTGTATCTGTTCAAGGAAAGTATCCTGCACTTCCGACGTTTGGAGAGGTAGAGATAGTAGACGAGAACCGCACCGATGGCCATGACGAGAGCGACGCTGTGGACGAAAATCAAGGTTTCTTTCAAGGCCAACGCCCCCTCGGCCGGTTCTAAAAGGATCTGGCAACCCTGCTTGAGACGTGAGGGGGGGGGGGGAAGCGGCCGAGAGTGGGCTGGACCCCATTAAATCCTGGACCGAATACTCCATTTCCCAACTGTCACTTGAGTTATGATTTCATTCCTCTCTTCTCAAGTGGTATTGAAGAACGGAGGGCTTCTTTTGAGGCCTTCTTTCGCTCTCATCTCTTTCTTTGTTCTCGTAGGCCTTTAAGGTAGAACTTCGTGCATTTTCCCAATTTTCATTGTCCAAGTATTAAAAAAAAAATACCGCTGCTTTCCGTCTGCCATTTACAATTAGGACAGTGCAAAGAAATATTGAACGAGTATCGAAGTTGTAGAGAACGAGTTAAAAGTTGGGAACGTCTCCGTAGGTTCCAAGGTACATTTGTTTCCTTCGCAGCGAGATCAGAATTTCTAAACGAGCCAACCTGATGTGGTGCAGAGCGCCTCAAGCATCACCAATTTATTTAAATATAAGTTTATATGCTTTTCGTACTGGGGGATGTTGATAAATTTCAATTTCACATCTTGAGGACAACTGTAAGAAAAGGAAGATGCAATCTCCACATCGATAACTTTTTTATCAACGGAATCTGAGCCCTCTCCAAATATTTTTGGCGTCTTTCTCGCATTAAAAAAGAGAATCCCGGTTGGCGATTCGCGTCCGTTGGCCCAACTTCTCGAATAACGGAAGCAACGAGAGCCACAAGGGATCGAATGGGACGAAAAATCCCGTTACAAAATCGTTTGTGCGCAAAAAACAACCATTACACCCGGGATCGTTTCTCACCTGGGGCAGATCGGGGTCGCGGATAAGGGAACTCGGGTCAAAACACGACCTCGTTTTGTTCGAGGGAAGTCTTTTCTTTCCCGGGGCATAGCGGACCTCGGAGACGGTTGACCCCAATCCTTTGCAAAAGCCTTCCTTGTTTGTTTCCGATCGGGCGGAGAAGGCGATAAGATCTGCAGGTTTGCATCCGCACTGATGTTTTCGAGGGAAGAAACTCCGAGGATCGGTCATAGATAAGATCTTCATTTCGAGTGTTCTCTGCCCGACGAGGCGAAGCGGAGAGATCCTTTGACGAATCCACTAATCTCGGGAAATGATTCCTGGAAAAGCCAAGACGATGAGGTTCTCTCGTCCGTGGGGACTCGATTCCACTGGCTTACCGAGAAATTCGCATTGGCCATCAGCCATCAGCCATCAGTCATCGGTCATCGGTCATCGGCTGCGACGAGACGACCGAGATGAGAAACTTTCCAATAGAAACTTTGAGCTGTGGTCCGATGACCTTTTCCATTACTCGAAGTGATTTATGAATGGAAACTCTCTTAGCGACGCCATGAGAGATAACAGTCGGAACGGGGAGGGGGGGGGGGGGCGATAAAGGAAATTGGGTTTGCACATTTCTATCGCTTCCTGTGTCAATTGGTCGTTCTGTCATTCCACGATAGCGGGAAATATATATTTTATCAATTGCATCGGAATCTAGTGCCGATGTGCGAAGACAAAAAAAAAGTTGGGCCCACTTGAATTATATTTTCCAATTTTTCTTGTTTTTTTTTTCCTTCTTTTTCAGTAAAAAAAAGTATAGCATTGCTAGAATAGTACAAATTAAATCTTGCAAAAAGTTGCTGGCACTTGAAGCGTTTTTGCAAAATGAAACTTTCAACATTCGCATGTTAATTGCTCTTGTAATTATTTAGTACTTCCCATTCCGCGGAGCAACTGCGGAGAATGCTTCACAGACATGAATCCTTCAAATGATTACCTAGAGATAAATTATCGCCGAGATAATTGCAGACGACTGGAAATTCTCACGTCACGCTTCAATCACCCCCTTGGTATGGAAATGTGCACGAGCGAATAAGCCCTGATTAGCCCTAACGTTTCCTTGGGTAAACCTGGAAACAATCCTTTCATTGATCCAGCGTCGAAATACTCAGGAATCTTACGAATTTTCATGTTCATCTTTAATTTCGTTGATGCTTATTTATTTAACATATTCCTTGGTTATATATTATAACTTGAATATGGGCGTTTTAACCTGCGGGCTTTTCTTCTGAGTTTTTTTTTTCTCATATTCATCGGCAGGCCTCGTGCAAGTTGCTCGGATTACATCGCGAATCCTTGCCTCAAGAGGCTCGGTATGCCATCTGCCAAGCTCGAGTTATTGCCCAGGATCGCTAAGCACCTCGACTTAGTTGAGACGAGCGGTTTCGAAAAGTTAGCATGACTTTTCGATTCCGTCAGGTTCATTGACTCCATAGTAATGAATGGTAAATAGACGGAAAACGGAGACTCAGACTTTTGATGGAAAAGGAATGGATTTCGTATTTTCCTCTTTCTCACTTCTCGAGAGTAGCATCGATTTCTCATGAGAACATGAGTTTCGCTTTTGCCCTTCTCGGAGAGTAACGATGACAAACTACACCCAAATAGAACTTCATTCGATCGAAGCATCATTTCATTGTATTTCATGTGCAATGATCCCCAGCTTCGTTGGGGGAGGAGCCGTCGGAGTGCCCTTCGCCGTTCACGTATTAGAGTTGAAATAATACAAGTAGGAAAAGCGGGCCGAGGTCTGCCCACGACCTCGTCTCCGTCGAGATCGTCGGTATATATTCAGCAGTGCCTACCAGTCCGTCGAAGATGATCTCGGAAACGGTCGAAGATCGGTCGATCCTGCGGGTCGTCCGGGTCCACGATGGATGCGTGACGAGTGACTATGTCGTGTACGAGAATGCCTAAGAGTAATGGCGACTCTCACGACTCTCGTAAGCAATTCTTCTCGGAAATCCTTCTAGATTGCGAAACGGAAAACGGAAACTCGTCGAGACGAATGCGACTCGGGGATAGACGGTCTCTCGCGGTGCCTACTCCTATTCGTCTCGATCGTGCATCGACGGGTGACGATCACGAGTCGAGTGGAAGGCGTAGAAATATCAGATGAGAGAGGCGAGGAACGACCCTTCGCTTTCTTTCCGGCTGGAGAAGTCGGAGATTACTTCACGTTTCGTGCAGCGTCTGCTCGTTCCACCCTTTTCGTGTACCAGCCTTTTCTCTCCCTCTCGACATCGCTCATTTGCTTCCACTCCCGCGAGATCCGACGAGGAGAGGAGAAATCCGCTTTCTCACTCGGTCGACAGCCCGCTCTCGTCGATTCCGCGAAAATTCCTTGCGTAAGCTGGCAGTCTATTCTTGTAATTTCCAGGAAGATTCTTCCGACTTACCTTCAGACCCTTCTACGCATCGATCTTCGGTCACGTACGAGAAAAAAGCACATTTAGGACTTTAGATGCGATCTACTTAGGTACGTGAAAAGTAGCAACACGTTACGATTTTACAACGTATTTCTCCCAAGATCATGAATGCATCATCTACGCATTTTCAGGCCCTTCTATGCATCGATATTTGGTCACTCTACAAGAAAAAAAATTCCCACATAAATGCGAAAGGAGCCGCATTCCTCTGGACCGAGTTAGCCAGTGGCCTCGAATTCGAACTTGGTCAGAATAGATAGAAACAGTAATCAAGATCACCTAGTCACCGTTTTTCAACTCTTCAATCATGCTTCAAAGAATTAAAAAAAAACCTGCGACATTCACGATCATGGGAGAATTCGACAAAATCTGACTGCCTCAGGTTTTTTCTTTTAAATGCAAGTGCAGCTAAGTAGGGAGACCTTGGAATACTTGAACTCTCAGTACCTCTCCCTTCCGTTTCTCAGTTCCCTCAATTCCTGAAGTTTACTCGAAATATCCGTCCAAGTAGAAAACCTACACCTTGCCCGAAACCAGACACCCTTTTGTTTGGTTTCGACGAGGCTACTCTATAACTGGGGATAACTGAACATCTCCGACATCGACTTTGCATCCGAAGATAGTAAAAACAAGAAATTTTACGAAAAAGATTAACCCATCCGTTACAGAGGCCTTCAGTGATCACTTTTTACTGAGGGGAGTACTTGAAGTACCCCAACCTAATAAATAATTTTTGAGCTGGTAATATCAAAATCGTATATTTTAATACTCTCAGAAGAAAGCGTAAATTAATGTTTTATAAATTAAAAATATATATATTAGTTTAACATGGGGTACCGTTGAAACCCCCTCAGAAACGGAAGGGTTAAATTGGAGATTTAATGGCTTCCATCGCACCTTACAACCCAATATGAGGTAAAAGAAACCCGACCAGGAAATTTCCTCTCTCTTTCAAAGCGTCTTCCTTTATGATATGTAATTACAAGCTTTTTTCCCCGTCGGGTGAAACCTTTTTAATTCTTTTGATCACGAAGGATGATGAAGCAAATTTGGATTTCCGCGGAACGCGAAGAAACCCGATCGCGGAATACGAAAGAGAAGACCGAGCCGAGCGGCGACTTCCTTTCCCGTCGGATCCTCCGCGCTCACGCGAGGGCAAACCTCCTTCCGTCGTGTGAGCCCCCGAATGTTCATTGTCGTCTGCTGGAGGTCGGGGGACCTGTATCATCTGGGGATGTCGATTAGTGGAGGCTTTTCAACGTTCCCGAGCGCAGCATCTGCTGCCGATGTCTCTGGGTCCGTCGGATTTCGCGTGAAGAATTCAACGTTTCTGGAGATCTGGAGAAGTAACTTGATTTGTTTTCGGGCGGCTTAAAGCACATATTGACATCAGCAGTGATCATTGTGACCACAGTCCGACACGTGAAAGATGAACTCGTCCCAGAAATGTGCCCTTTAGGTGTATCAGGTTGTTTGCGAAATGTCATGGTAGAACTGGAGTACTTTCATTCAAGTCTTCAATTTGTCTGAACACCCGTGGGCTATGATTTCATACGTCATTGCCAGATGATTATTTTTTTTATTAAAGAAACGGGCTTTAATAATTGCACTGGTGTTAGACGCACAGTAAAGCACATGCAAAGAATTTTACGATTTAAATATGTGAGATCCCAATAGACACCATTTATCTCAAGGGTGTTCCTTGAGATGCTCATGGGATAAAATCTTTTTTTTCCAGTTTTATTGAGCAATCTATGGTTTAACATGTAAAACACACATAAACAAAGACAAATGGTACAAAGGACAACCTTTTGGAGTTTAACATTTCAGAATTTGACAGTTCAAGAATTTGACACCTCAAAGGTTTAAATAAACAAATAATTGAATTATGTCATAATAAGAACATATCATGGATAACATTACATAATCATCGGCATCCATTTTTCCCACAGTTGAAAATGATTTAAACGCACAGTTAGAAGCGTAAACGTT